AGCCCCAGCAGGCAGTCACCAGGCCAGGCCGGCACACACCCCAGCGCCCAGCCTATCATCCAACCCTAATGTGACCAGTGCACATTCTAGTTGTCTTCTATAACTGGTAGACACCTGGCTATCAACAACAACATGAAGCCAACTGTTCCAGCTCCTCCTCCTTCTTCCCATGTTCCCTTGTTGCTCAACTTTTCCTTGGGATTTTTGTGCAGTGGTGTGTGGGTGTGAGATGGATGAGGTCATCACAAATGGAACCTGAGAAAAGATGGTAACATAAGGAAAGCATTTCAAAGCTGAAACACTTCAGCTGCTGGACATGCACAAAGTTTCTGCATGATGTCAGCTACAGGACAATATAGTTCAACTCTTGTGACCTTTTCCTGGACAAAGAATATATAGGGAACGTGAGCCATTAATAAAGACTCAAATAATTTTTTTAGGTGCATCAGCCAGAAAGGAAACAATTTGGTATTTTTTAAAAAAACTTGGCTTGACATATTAATGGTTTATTCTGCTACAGGATAATTCAGAATCATTTTTAACTTCAAACAAAGTCATCCTCCATATTTAAAGTATTATTGGCCTTTTTAAAAATTTGCATTCTAATAATTTACATTTATTCTGCTAAGGGATCAGATTATCTTTAATGTCTAAATGCTTTTTATGTTTAAAGTGTGCAAGCAGTTACCTGAATACACACACACACACACACACGTCTGGTTTTTATATCCCTGTGGGGACCGTGGATTGACTTCCATTCGTTTTTTTGGAAATTTATAGCGTAACTCTGACCATTTACCCTAAAATTAAACTCACAGGTACCTACCTGACCCTAAACTCAATTCACACCATGGTCCTAAACCTAGCCTCCCACCCATAGTTTTCATTTGTACTCGTGGGGACCAGTGCACATTCAGTCCCCACAAGGCTGGTTTTTCTGGAAAATGGTTCCCATGATGTTGAAAAAAATGTGTCCACACACACATTTTGAAATAATTTTTAAAATACTTTAAAGCTTTTTGCACCATTAACATGTTCCTCCGTTGCTGTCCCTCAGCGCTGGAGTGCCATGACGCTGAACAACGAGACCCTGGTCCTGGACTCCTCCTCCACCACCACAGCAAGTGACAGCATGAATCTAGTGCTGCGACAGGGCGTCCTGAGTAAAAACGAATCCTACATCTTCACCCTGCACGTGACGGACAGCAGTCTGGATGGCGAAGGCGCCGCCTCTATCACTCTGCACCACAACACGCCCCCTGAAGGTGGCGAGTGTCACCTGACGGGGCCGGGAGAGGTGGGAACGATGAGCGGGGATGGAGACGGCTGGAGGATACAGACTCTGCTGGACCAGGTTCACTTCAACTGCTCAGGTAGAATGCTACGTGATTTTTTCCTCATGTATTTTTAATGGATTTCTGTTTTGTTGTGATTTGTGTGTGTGATTTTCTTTCTGTCACCATGCTTCCTCTGCAGGTTACAGCGATCTGGGCGTCTCAGAAACACCCTTCCTGTACAGCCTGCTGATAACACGCTGCAGAGAGGACTACTGTGAGGACTTCTGTGTTTACAAAGGCAGCCGTCCGGACCACTCAGCCTTCTTGCCGCCAGGCTTCAGCTCCGCCCGACACCGTGTAGCTGTTTCCATTACAGTGGAGGACCACCAGGGTGCTGCCAGCCTTGCACTGAACAAGTAACGACATTGTTACATCATCATTGTGTGTACACTTAATCAGCATAGAGACAAATTAAATTAGACTTGTTCCAGTTAGATTTTGTAATACTGCAAATTCCTGCAGTCATTTTCCCATAAATCTGATGCATTTTGTTAAGTTATTGTTTAGATACTATATTTGATTAGATTTTTTTTATTTGAAAGGGGACAATGCAGTGTAATAAAACACATTCAATTTCACAAGTTAAAACAGTCAGAATTAGCCAAAAAGCTTTTTTTATCCCCTGTCCATGATGTTTAAAAGGCAATAAAATACAAGAATATAAATACAACACAAACACACAATTAACAAGGACAAGAAACAAAACAAATCTGAACACACTAAGAGGAAAAAAAAGAAACATTACTGCTAAAAATAAAAACAATACAATGCAAATGTAAGTGATTCTTGAAACTTTGGCAAAACAACACTTGGTTCCCCAGGACTTTGCTGAGGTTTGTTGGAAACACTGATTTGAGATGATCTCTAGAAACAACAATTTAAATAAATGACAACATAATTTTGCCAAATTTGTTAAAGGGATCCCTGATTAGTTGTAACATTAGACTTTATATGATAAACATATACTTTAATTGTAAAATAAAGACTGTAAAAATACTGTAGGATGTTCAGTTT